TGAACTAGTTAAATCATGATGCATTGACATTTGACATTTATGTATTCTCTTGTGATTTTGGCTTTAACCACATACTTTTAAAGCCCAGTCTACAGTTATAAACAGTAAAAAAAAAATCACCAACGAAAGTTATTGTTCAGCAAATGTCTTTTTTCAAATGTCAACATTAAGAATGATACATAGAACATATGTGAATATCTTCCCTTGTAATTAAACTTATCTAATATAATATATGAAGAAAAATAAAGTGTGTCCAAACTTTTATGACTAGCCAATCTTTACTAAAAGTAATCTCACCATCCACATAGCTACAAAGTGAATATATTTACATAAAATGCTGTTTTAAGTATAACAAAAATAAATAAATAAATAAATAAATAAATAAATAAATAAATAAATAAATAAATAAATAAATAAAACAAAGCCTGTTAATTTACTCATTATAAGGCTATCCAATATGTAGATTGCTTTTTTCTTATGGAGAAAAAAAAATGTAATAACGAATATAAATGCATAAAATGTAAGTCACTGAGAGTAAAAAAAAGAATAAATAAAATAAAATAAATAAATACAGACAAAAAAGACAAATAAAATAATAAAAAGTAAAAAACTAAAATAAATAAATAAATAAAAAATAAAATAAATAAATAAATAAATAAACACCCAACAGGAAATCTAAAATTAATATAACCGGCTCCTGATGAAACACCAATGCCTTTAAGTTTCAAGCATTTTTACCTTGAATCTTTAGCCTCAGCAAATACCCTGAGTCTATTTACCACAGTTTAGAACTAAATAATGATGTATATAAAACGTTGGGAGTATTTCAAAAATAGTTTCCAGATTCCAGATTGACCTCACACGATTGTAATAATACATTTTTATCTTTGTAACACCTTGGATTAGCACAAATAATTGCAGCCAGCAAACTGCTTATTTTTGCATATTGGTAATGACCAAGGATGAATGCTTCAGCTAAACATCTTTAAATTCCTTCTTCAGATAAACAATCAAAGTCACCTATAACTATTGGATGGCTGTAGAAAAATTAAATCAAACTACGCTTCGGGAAAACTATTCCTTTAATACAACAAGTTTACACTATTTTGTGCTATAAATCTCAAACAAGCTGTTCAGACCCCTCAGTTATCAAAAGCAACACGACAGGTGTTTCCAAACTGTGTTTCTTAGTGAGAAATGCTAGTGATATTAGCATTTTAATACTGTGAAACTACCAAAGGATCAAAGTGGGAGGTCAAAGAGCAGTTACTTTACAGGGATCCACCCACCCATCACTATTCTGAGCTATCTCTGTGTTTGTCTCTGTATTGCGGATTAGTCTGGTGATTTCAGCTGGCCAGGCACACACACACACACACACACACACAAACCTGTTCCACCTCAAATGGCCAAGGTTTCACTGTGCTCGGCTCAGGTTTTTATGTTTGTTGTGCTGCTAATTACAAGCTTTTATCACATTGTGTCGACAGGAGATAAAGGCTGGCTTCGGTCCTCTTGAGAAAGGCCAATCCCTCAAATCTTGCAGGCCAATAGGCAAAGCACGCGAGACAAATGTGGGACGGGGTCCAAGCTGCTCTAACTGTTTGCTGTCCCGATCCCCTCGGTCAACAAACCTCTCTATTTCTCTCTATCGTGCCAACAATGATACTGGAACACGTCTTTGTTGCTGATGAAGACGGCGTAGCTTGTCTCACAAGATCTAACTTTAGGTTTGTGTTTGCTCATCAGTTGTATGTGTGCACTGCTTTCGTCTTTTACATGGGCTCCACTTCAAGACTGTTGCAATGTTTGGACTGTCTGCTTAGTATCAACAAGAGCACTGGAATTACTTTTTTTTTGTTGCAACAAATCAAAGCAACTTGATACTGTAAAGTGAAGAGAGCCAATTCAATTTCTTTCATCAGGCAAAAGTGGAAAATTAGCTGCTATTATATTCTGAACTAAAGGGTTAGAAACTGATATGTTTAAAACTAAATCCATTTATTAATGGTTGTTGATGGTGAATTACGGTTAATTTTGAGTTAATTATGTCAACTTGCAGTTAAAGATATACATGCATTTTGTCAACAGTATATAAATATAATATAAAAATACACTGTAAAAAGTTATTAGTTGACTTTACTTAAAAAAATCAGTAAATCTGTTGCCTTTAAATTATTAATGAAATTAACTATGTGCATAATTCTATACATTAAGTCAATTTAACAATGCCAAGTTACAATGGGTTAATTTTCAGCACTTTTTTGTCGTTTTTTTTACTGTTGTATAATTGTAAAATATTGACATAGTATTATTTAAAATAGAATTTAACATAAGTAAAATGTTTTCAATTTTTATCTATTTTAATGTATTATGGTACATTATAGCTGAATTTTCTTGAGTATCAATCATTCATTCATTTTCTTTTCGGCTTAGTCCCTTTATTCATCAGGGGTCGCCACAGTGCAATAAACTGTTAATTTATACAGAATATGTTTTACATGGTGGATGCCCTTCCAGCTACAACCCAGTACTGGGAAACATCCATACAAACTCATTTACACACATACACTACGGCCAATATAATTTATTTAATTTACCTATGGTGCATGTCTTTTGACTGTGGAGGAGACCAGAGCACCCATAGGAAATCCACGTGAACACAAGGAGAACTTGCAAACTCCACACAGAAATGCCAACTGACCCAGCTGAGGTTTAAACCAGTGATTTTCTTGCTGTGCTAGGCGACAGTGCTAACCACTGAGCTACAAAACGGATTGGTCATCGTGGGCCAGTTGAATAGGCCCCAAGGTCTCCCGATCTGACCCCCTTAGACTTTTATATTTGGGGTCATCTAAGGGCAATTGTCTATGATGTGAAGATACAAAATGTGCAGCACCTCAAACTACGGATACTGGAAGCCGTTTATAACACATTTTATAATGGGTTAAAACCAAGCACACCATTTTTTTCTGTAAAAATTCCAATGAGTTTGATGTGTCAAATGACCCTTTTCCTATTAAAAAAAAAAAGTTGGATCCAATATGGCCGACTTCAAAATGGCCACCATGTTCACCACACATCTTGAAAAGTTTGCTCCCTCACATATACTAATGTGCCACAAACATGATTTTAATATCACCAACCATTCCCATTTTATTAAGGTGTATCCATATAAATGGCCCACCCTGTAAGATTAGATAAGATTTCATATATTTTATATGATATATGCATATATTTCATATCAGTGATTTTCTAGTATTTTTATTTTTATTTTTTTTTAACAAATATCAATTTATGGCTAGAGAATAATTGTTTAGGTTAATAAGACTTAATAAGACTGATTGAAAATATTCACATCCTGATAGAATTCATTCAATTATAGGTGCAGGTGATTGTCTTCAGAAACATTTTTTGTTGTGCTGGTTAAAAGTCTCTTCACAACCCAACAGTAATGATTAAAATAAATTATCTAAATGTGTTTATATGTATTTTTATATTCTGGGTAAGGCATAAGACTAAAAAATGTTCATCCAATTAAATATTGTCAGGCCGACATCTCCCATAATTCTGATAGGTAGCCCAAACTGTCTGTCAACAAATGTAGATTTGGGCCTCTGCGCATCTCTGTTCACGCATATATGCCAATAGTGCGTGCCCGCCTGCATGTGCACTGTCTCACAAGCTTATGAGGGTGGGGGGTACGTCTTCTTACAATTTAGGCCTCAAATTTTTACCATGTACATGGCAAGAAATCTAAAGAAGAACCCTTCAACCAACCAGTCGCCCCTTCACGTTAAGAAATAAAAAAGCCACAGGTCTTTAAAATCTTGAGTAACACTTTCCAGGGGAGAAGGGTGTGTGTGTTTGCAAAAGGAAACCATTTCATCTCTGGCTCTTGGCCTCAAGGTGTGAAACATTAACACCCTCTAAAGTGGATGTTGTCAGTCATTAGAATGTAGATTTACTGCACTCTTGCGTAGACTCAAGGCTCATTAACTTTGGTTTACTCAGCATTCACAAAGTGAGGTGACAGTTTTTATGCTTTTCGGTGGTCACACAAAAACAACAAAATCTGTTTGTTATGTCTGATGTCATAGATTTTGAGTCCACACACTCTATCAGATGCCAAAAGTAGGGGATAACTGACAATGAGATGTTAAATTCTGTAAAATTATGTAAAGCAAGATCGTAATGCAGTATTTCCTTATAATTCAACCGACCATAGTCAACTGTTTTAATTATGTAATGCTGTTCATATGTTGTATTTCGAGACTTTTGGCAGGTTATTAACCTGTGCGTATACTAGTTTCTTACTTATCTCAACCAATGCCTTCTGTTCTGATTTTGTTTTTGACAGTTAATTGATGATGGACTGTTGAATTATTAGAAAATAATGCACAATTTGATATATGTACATTAGTTCCCACTTTATATTAAGTGGCCTTAACTAAAATGTCCTTACACAGGAATTAATAGTTTGTTACAATGTACTTATTGTGTAAATACATGTATTTATTGTGTACTTATGCTTGATTAAATACCTGTATGTGATTACATCTGTAATTAACTTCTGTAATTACATTTGTAAATAAACTGCTGACCATTCCCTACACCTTAACCCACCCTTAAACCTACCCACACCACCAAACCTGTCCCTAACCCAACCCCTATCCCAACTCAAGAGCACCACAAGTGCTCTCAAATACTTTATGAACACAGTAAGTACATTGTATTAATTTTTTGATGTAAGTACATAGTAGTTAAGGACACTTAATATAAAGTGGGACCGTACATTATGTTTGTACGTTTTATGTATGTGTTTTCTCAAAGTGATTTTAAATCTTGTATTAAACAATCTGAAGGCAAAAGAAGGTTACCGAACTGTATAAATATAGTTTCTTTAGTCCATAACTGCACACACAAAAATAAAATCACTTCTTAGTAAGAAATTTCATAATCTTTTCATTTTAATATGTTTAGATATCCAAGTAAACTGAAACCAATTCATACCTTTAAAACTGCAATCCTTCAAATTTATTTGGGTCAAGACAGTCTTCATTGTGCCACGATCATGCAAATGGCGTATGTAGGCATCTTTTCTAAAATACAGTCACTGAGATGAGAAACAGCTATTGGTTAATATTTTATAAATCATAAAAAAAATTTAATCAGGGATGCAGAAAATTTAGAGACTGTAGTGGACAGCATGATTTTGTACATTGTTTTAAGGTAACACTTCAGAATACTTGTCTATTAGTTAATGTATTTAATACCATTAACTAATTATGAATAAAGCTTTTGTAAAATATTAATTAATAATAGATCAACATTTACTAATGCATTATTAAAATCCAAAGATGTGCTTGTTAACATTAGTTAATGCACTGTAAGTTAACGCACTAACATAGGGGTTCTCAACCTTTTTCACTTCGGGGTCCACTTCCTTTTCTGATGAACTTTTTAACGCTAACCTGATTGTATATTGAAGTGTTCACACAAAAATACACAGATAAACTTTGACTTTACGCATAGTTTGTGAATCAACAAGCTTACATTGGTGTATGTGTTGCAGATGTGAGACATGTGCAAGCTGTCTATTGCAACTATAATACCTTTACAATTGTGTGCCGCTTTGGTTAATACAACTGGGAGATGTAGTCCTGGTTGGCATGCAGCAGTTGAGAGTTTTAAGCCACTTAAGTCTGTATTTAACAGTGAGGAGGCTGTTTTTGCACATAGCATTTGCTGTGTTCATAGTATGAAGTGATTCATCACAGAACACATGAAAGTCCATTATGTTGATCATTTTAAAATAGCTTATTAATATTGAAAAATATATAGTATAGTTCATTTTAATCTCTCGGCCCACCTGCAGTACCATTGAGGTCCACTAGTTCCTGAAGAATTCCTGAACTAACATTATTTAACTTAAATTAATTAACATTGACAAAGATGAATAAATACCATGATGCATGTATAACTAATTGTTTGTTCATTAGTTAGTAATTACATTAACTAACATTAACTAATATTCTAAAGTGTTATCAGTCTTACTTTGATGCATTTTATGACTAAACAGTGGTCATAAATGACAATAAATGAAATACTGAGATTTCTCAGTTTAAATGAGTAGATGCTTGGTCCCAAACACAGTATTCCATACCTCACAATTAACACGTGGATAGTTCTTGACTAGGTAAATTAAATACACATTTCACATCAAGTCACCTTTTTGTCTATAGCAGTTTATGTAATGCAGATCAGGCAAATAATAACAGAAAATTAATCATTGTAGAACTTATTCAATTCATCAGGCATTTCTGAATTTGCAAGGCCTGGATACTTCTTAACATGCTGCCTAAGATCACAGCTGACATTCAGGAACAGCACAGTCCTTGTTGAGCAGGACGGCCTGCAGTTTTGGGTCTCAGGGTGTGTCCACCTCAGGCCCGTGCCTCTCTTATGAGCCCCAGGAGGTGAGCTCTCCTGACAGGCGGCCCCTGACAGATCAGTCCTGCCTTTGTCATGCAGGTTGAGCTGGCAGGAGGTCTCCATACTCTGCCTTAAGCAACAGCACTTGGTCTATGCAGATCCGACAGCTTATTTTGTAACGTTTGCATGTTTTCTGCTTCCACATTGAGAATTTCAAAACGCAACAGATGACGTCCAGTATGGGGTAATACTACTAACACACAGTTTGGTTAATAGCTAATGTATGGATGGCTTGAATGTGCTGACTACATAGACCAGTGTTTCCGAAGACTTTTTCTTTATCAATGCATTGGTGACACTTTACAAGCATTATTTTGGTTATAATTTTTTTTTTTTTTTTTTTGTAAAAATGTCTTTATGCATTAAGTAACATGAACTACAATGTAAAAAAATCCAGAAATGTGCAGTTCTCCATATTTTGAGATCATGTTGTCATTTATTTATTTAATTTATCCTTAATTGTTTATTGCTTTTTAATTAAACCTAATCTTTTTTTCAACAACTTTTAACTCTGAACTATTATTAACATTTTTAAAAGTTTAAAATGATATATTGTCTGGATTTGTGTTTTATGGTAATGTATGCAAGGCAGGGCAAAATGTATTTATAGAGCACAATTTTACAAAACCATAGTTGATCCAAAGTGCTTTCCGATAAAATACAATATTTAATAAAAAATAAAATAAAAAAATAAAACTTGAATAAAAATATAAGAAAAGTAAAAAAAATACAGACATGAAATAACATGCATGCATCACTTAAAGGCAAAGGAGTAAAAATACGTCTTTAAAAACTATTTAAAAGTGTTCAATGAAATGAATTATTTCTAAATGAAATCCTAATGTTCAGAGGAAGGCTGTTCCAGAGGCTTGGGACCACAACACAAAAATCTTTATCACCTTCTGATTTGCACAAAAGGTACAAAAACCTTGTCATTAATTTACATTCTGTATATTCTTTATGATACATGATAGTATTTAAACTACTAAAATTTAAATAAAAGTCACTTTGTTAAACTGTTGAGTTGAATTTTCAACATCAAAAGTCAACAGAGCAGAGATCATGGTCCCAATATGCAATTCACAACTGTAAATAAATGGAAATAACTTGTAAATTACAAAATACAGATTTTTTTTTTATTTTACAGTGTAGCAATATATCTTTTATTTAGTAATTAGTACACAGTAGAGTTAATTAAGCAAATAAATGAGTTCATATTTATGCTTTTTAGTTGTCAGTTCATATTTCACAGTGCATTAACTAATGTTAACAATTATCTTTTGCTCTTTATATTAAGAGATGCTGAGATAAACATTGAGATTTATAAAAATTGGACAAATATTTTTCTTTATTTATTCATAACATCATATTAGTTCAAAACTAGTATCAACAAATGAAACATTTTAGGGTGACATTTGCATGTTTTGCCTGAGCTTGCGTGGGTTTCCACCGGGTGCTCCGGTTTCCTCCACAGTTCAAAGACATGCAGTACAGGTGAATTGGGTAGGCTAAATTGTCGGTAGTGTATGAGTGTGATTGAATGTGTATGGATGTTTCCCAGAGATGGGTTGCAGTTGGAAGGGCATCCGCTGCGTAAAACATATGCTGGATGAGTTGGTGGTTCATTCAAATGTTGCAATCTCAGATTAATAAAGGGACCAAGTCGAAAAGAAAATGAATGAATGAATGAATAAAACATTTTAAAATGTAAAAGTCAAATTTAACTGTCACTTTAGGATTATTGACATTTGATTTTTCTTTTTGCTAAATTTTAATTTGCATTATACTATTTTTTTCTATTATTAGTTTCTGTTGCTATTAAATAGTTTATATACACTACCTGACAAAAGTCTTGCTGACTATCCAAGTTTTAGGAACAACAAATAATAACTTGACTTCTAGTTGATCATTTAGTATCAAAAGTGGCTCATATGAAGAGCAAAGGACTCTTGATTACTCTTATTTTACCAAAATAATATATGACCATACCTTGACTTTTATTAATTTAATTAGGACGGTGAGGTCTGACTTTGCTTGGACAAACATGCACAATAATGTTCATGTCTGTTGACTGGGCTGGCCAATCCTAGAGCACCTTGACCTTCTCTGCCTTTCAGGAACCTTGATGTGGAGGCTGAAGTATGAGAAGGAGTGCTATCCTGCTGAAGAGTTTGCCTCTCCTGAGGTTTGTAATTTAATGGGCAGAACACGTCTTGATATCTCAGGCTGTTGATGTTGCCATCCACTCTGCAGATCTCTTGTGCGCCCCCATACTGAATGTAACCCCAAACCATGACTTTTCCTTCACCAAACTTGACAGATTTTTGTAAACATTTTGAGTCCATGCGCGTTCCAATAGATCTTCTGCAGTATTTGTTAATATTTGTTGCTCTTACAACTAAGACTGACAGCAAGACTTTTGTCAGGTAGTGTATAGTTGATCAAATTAAACCAAACCTATTTGGCTATCTTTTTATATAGTATTTATCATTTTAATATTAATAATATTATATTTCAGAACCTAAATTATTGGATGAACTATAGTGTATACTCTTAAATTTTTAACATCTGAAGTTGTCTGACATTTTGTATGAAAAATAAACATGGATTAATGAACAATATATTTATGAAGTGCTATTTATTATAAACTGAAAGTAAGCTGCTAATGATCACATTCATTTAGACATAAAGACAGTTACACATCAAAAGCGAATAATCTTCTTATTTATGAATCTATATGCCAGCCAAATTTATGCTCTTCCTCCATCTGAGGATAACTTCCTCTCAGAGCACCTAAGACCTATAAAACTCTCATTCTTTCATAGCGGCTAGACATGACAAATTTTATTTTCTGATAACTCCTCTCGATGCACCTCACACATCATTGTAAATTCCTCTCATCCGTCGAGCGTGGGTCCCCTGAGTATCATTTAAAAGTCTGAATACAGCAAGAACAACTAAACGAGCGTAGATGTCAACCCTAAAACACGTCACAATAGAGTCTCCAACAACCCAATATGTCTGCACAACCAGACCGGCTTCTCCACAAGGGTTAAAGTTCAGCTCACTAATACTCGGTCTCCAGTGCGCTGACGGTTTTGTGGCCCCATCCCTTTATTTTCAAATACAGGTGACATCACTGGTGCCAATGCGGCTTTGCTCATTTATGGCATGTCTAACCTGGTTGGCTGGGTGACTCATTAGGGCTTTAATTGAGTGCGAGTGGCGCTGAGGGCATGAGAGATTTACCCTCACCATCTGACAGCACCTGAATGAACTCATTTATGACTCAGCTCACACAGATTGCCGGATGACCTCACGGCCGCAGACGGCTCTTGTTTATGGTTCGGGTGGAGAGCGGTCAGCCTCCCTGTCTAGGCACATTGGCTTTCAACTCCTAAAAAGCGAAGCGACATCCAAAATAAAAATCAATTTGGCGGTAATTATCTTGCTTTCATCACCCACGGCCAGCTTAAGAGTTTTGAGATGGATGATATCAGGGGGTCAAAGATCGAGTGGCAGATTCAATACATCGTCAATATTCAATTAGAAAACAAATGGTTATTTTCGGCTGCACTGAGAGGTGGAATTGGGATTGGATTTATGATTTCCCCCTTTTTGAGTGGCTAGTTTTGAGTTAAATGGGGAAAGCATTTTAATGGGATAGTAAAAAAAAAATTACCATTTATAACTATCGTTTGAGGTTATTTCGATACAAAGGCTAAATTTATACTTTTAAAATGATACCGGTGCCTGAACTGATACTTTTTAGCCACAAAATTATGGTAGATGACAAAATTATGGTGAATGAAAAATCTTTTATTTGACAAAATTATTTTAGTAGAACAATATAATTAAAGTTGAAAGTAAACATCAATTCATATTTTATGTATTTGAATTACATTAACATATTTCCTTTGATCATTTGTTAGTTAGCATGAATTTAAGATTTGCATTGAATGAAATTACTTTAGTTTACTACTAACCTGTGGAAAGGCTTTCATCAAAATACTGAATTCCTTTTTTCTAGGGTTGGGGCTTGTGACTATGTTTACATGGCTATCAGTAATCTAATGGTTTGCCTTAATCTGAATAAGACAATAATTGGATTAAGGTGTTTACATGAGTTGCTTTTTGAATGTTCTTTTCATGATCCCATCTCACATGTTATAGTACATAGATCGATTAACGTCATTGTGTCACCACGCAATCCATGTTTTCTCCAGAGTTTCATGTAGTTTCGGGTGTTTCATTTTTAGTTTTTCAACTTTAACTGCAGTTTCATTTTCATTCAGGAACATTTCCTTCATGCCCAATGACAAACAGGTATTTGATGCAAACTATAAGGACTAGTGGAAGAGTGCCTTTTTAATGGAAATTGAAGTCTGTGGTCCTTTAAGGTTACCAAAAATCACAGTTTAAATGGTAGTCTGGTCTTAAAAGTCAGAGTATTGTCTTCATCATATTAAAATCGGAGCATTGGTGTCCATGTATGTACTCACTGAAAGTGCCAGATGATGTCACAAGGTTTCAGAAACAGTGCATTCCTCCTTTGAGTTAATTCCATGAGCCCTCAAATGTGTCATTAAGTTTGACATGTTTCCCCCTTACACGCAACTTTTGTAAAAGCATCTGCTTCATGTTGCTGTGTCAGAATCCTTGCTTGCAAAATACGCTTTAGAACGCTTACTTTAAACAAATTTGATGAACGCGATCATGTGTGTTAATCTGAAGTACACCGAATGCGCTGTACTGCGTGCGTCCGTTCCCTAAGCAACATGAACAAACGCCTGACACCGTCTGTCAGTTATTTTTTAAAGTTGTTTAAAATTAAATATTTAGAGATGGTGTGAAAATGTAATGTATGTATGTATGTATATATATATATTTTTTTTTCACCTATCAACACCATTATCAAGTGCAAACCTACTGTACGTCCTTGCTAAATACACAACTGCCTTTACTGACAAAATGTGCATGAAAATCATCTTCCACTGCTCATGCATGAAATTTCATTGAAAAAAAACGAACAAAGGTAATCTATACAACCCCTAATTAAAACACGTTTATATACCAATATGCTGATAACCTGCAAAAATCAGTGTACAGTAAAAACCTGTTTCATATGCAAATCAATAATATGTCAATGCAAGCTACATTACGAGAGTTAACCCAATTTGAAAGTTTACCCCATTAACTCTATTTTTTGTTTAATAAGCTAAAACAAGGCTAAATTTGGGCTGTCAGTGAATATCAAACACAATGGTCCACAAATAGAATTAATAGACAGGAATGAACACATTGACGTCTGTCTAAACAGTCTATTTGTTGACAAGGGTATTTTTGGACTATTGTCAGACAGCTATTAGATTTTCACTGACAGCCCAAGTTTAGCCTTGTTTTAGCCAAGACGACTATGTTTGTATGTCTATTAGACATCTATTAAACAACTGCTTAGGGGTTTGAGTTTGTCCATATTATACTAAATAGAGGGTTAAAACAGCACAGTCATTTAAGACTCAGTCTTTCTTTGTGTAAATGACTGTTCATCTGAAACAGCATGAGGATGAGTAAATGACAAATAAAAAAAAAATGTTGAGGTATACTTTTATAGACATGTATTCATTTATTTTCACAACATATTAACATTAAACCAGATAAATAATTTTTATTTGAGGAATGATGTGTTCATCCAGTTGACCAATTGTCCAAATTTATTTGCACTTAATATCCTATGATGTTCGCAGCTCAGATGACAAGATAACTATAAGTCATATATTGCCTGTAATTGCCTTGACATACCTCATGACTTCATTGATGTCTGTGTTGTTAGTGTGACTGGTGAACCGAGAGGTCAGAGTTCACTCTTATCATCCGCCCGCGTCCCTGCAGCTGGTCGAGGGCTTCTTTATGAGCAATATCAGCAGCGACAGGCCCTGCGATAGTTGTCGGAGAGTCAAAGGCAGAGGTTGTTCGGTCGATCACACACATAAACACACACGCACACCCTCCCAGGGCCTTCTTTCTGTCTTTCCCACAGTGATAGTGATCTAGAGCATGCCATAAAGGCCGGTCGTAGATCAGAGAAAACAACAAAGGGACTCCTGGCTCCCTCCCCGGCCGTCTCTCGGGAGCGGTGACTGGGCCGTAGGGGCTGATAAGGGCAGCCTGGCGCCTTGCCACTCCCACTGGTCCCACACACACTGGCCCGTGGCACCTGACATACAGCACGCCGTTTCCTCATATTTGTACAGGTAATCTGAAAGACAATGATACGGTCTTTAGATTTGTCAGAAACAAGCTGAACTGAAAGGCCATGTCAGTTCTTCTATAATAGTGCATTTTAGTTTAATCTCTCTGCGCTGATTATGTAGGTGTGTGTGTGTGTGTGTGTGTGTGTGTCAGAGTATATGTTCATTTAAGGCAGGATGTTTTGAGGAACTGGCAATTACAGACAGTAATCTCTGTGATTGTCTTGATTGACAAACTTGATTGTCTAATTGGTGGTAAACTATCCATGACAATCATCCCAGGATAAACATGTCTCTCTTATGGGTTTGCATCAGTAAAATATTTTGCTCTGCACGGTAGCACATGCTTTGCGAGTTATTATTGCAAAGAAACTATTATGACAATAAATTTAGCAGTAAATAAAAATAAATTCAGGAATTTAGAGAAATTAAACCTGAATGACATATGTTTATATAATGACATGTGACAAGAGTTCAATTCTTTTATTTTTTTAGTTGGAAAGAAAGTCTGCTGGTTCAGGTGTGGTTCAGGAAATGTGTTTTAAACCAGTTTGGACCTGGCAGGACAGCATGATCTCATGAGAAAACATAACTATTTTCAACCCAGGCTCATTCTGAAAACGTAGTCCGTGAACGTTTCTGAAAACAACGAAATACCTCCTGAGATGTACATATTTTTGCAGTTTTTGTTTTTGCTAATTCACGCAGTTCTGCTGTGTGCTCTCTTTTTTATATCTCAAATGTCTCTCGCGAGTGCCATTCGCGCCTGCGCTGTTCTCACGTAAACCCACCAGAGGCCGATGTCGAAAGACCATCTGTCTGACTGACTGAATGATTGACTGGGCGACCGGCCAATCGGCTGACCCACCCTCCTCCTTCCCTAAACCCAACCAATTTTACCGGTTGATCCAACCAACAATTTGGATCAAACCAACAATTTACAAAAGCCGTCCAAAAAAAGAAAAGCCCTTATATGATTTTTACCATGTTTTCGTATTTTACCACATTCTCACCCTGTTATGAACTTGTTCACTTTAATTTTTGAATTCTGTTTTTGTCTTACCTGATTTCTGGAGCCGCTCTTCCCTGGATTCGAACCCGGTCATCATCGTCATCGTGGTCAGCTCCTCTCTGCGTCTCAAGTCCTCCGATGTACACAGCTACTGGTTGCAGCGGGTAAGCCCACCACATGAAGATAAGCGGTCAGCCAGTAAGTGCGAAAATGAACGGCGTCATGCCGCCTTGTATCGTTCGCTTAAAAAAATTAATTGCAGCCATACATACCTCCAAAATCGTCCACAGGACTACATTTTCAGAATGAGCCTGGGTTGACTATTTTACGTTTTGTCAGATTAATAGCTAATTTGTAAGAATTTTGTACGAAATACAGTCGTATGAAAATGTATGATTTCTAAAATGAGGTGTGACACCAAACCCCACCCCTAAACCCAAAAGGTCATTGGAGGATGAGCAAATTGTACTAAATTGTATGAATGAGTACGAATTCTTATGAACAACACAGGCTCATTCTGAAAATGTAGTCCTATACGTTTCTGGAGATCACGAGTTATGTAGCCAGAAATACATATGGCTGCAAATCGTCTTTAAAACAAATGCTACAGGGAGGTATAATGCCGTTCCTTTTTTGATGCTTACCATCTGACCGCTACCTCAATATGGACGGTTACCAGTTTGCCCAGTAGCTTTCCATATACATCAACACACTACAATAATAATAATAATAATAATTCCTTACATTTATATAGCGCTTTTCTGGGCACTCAAAGCGCTTTACACAATGGGGGGGATCTCTTCATCCACCACCAGTGTGCAGCATCCACCTGGATGACGCGACGGCAGCCATTTTGCGCCAGACCGCACACCACACACCAGCTGATTGGTGGAGAGGAGACAGAGTCATGAAGCCAATTGAACATGATGCAGAGAGGAGTTGACCATGAAGATGGGGTTCAATTCCAACAAAGAATGGTTCCAGAAAGCAGGTAAGACCAAAACAGAAGCCAAAAAATAAAACAAATAAGTAAATAACAGTGTAAGAATGTGGTAAAATCTGAAAACGTGGTAAAAATCAGGCAAGGACTTTTCTTTTTTTGAATTGCTTTTTAAAACTGTCGGTTGGGGTTAGGAAATTGGGTGGGCGGGTCACTCTGTGCATTTAGGGGAATTACCAATCTACATCACACATTACATGACACGGATTCAACCTCGCATTCCAGTTGCAAAAAATGTTGTGCGGTAGGATGCCAAACTTGAATTCGAAAAAGAAAACTTAAATTTTTCCGTACACCACACTGCTGTTAATGCCAACCGCAGACGTCTTTGACTAATAGCCATCATAAGAGCTGAATGGAGTGAGGACCTAAATAAAAATGCTTGACTCTGAAGTTCTCATTTTATATCAAGTAAGTTCACGCTATGCTTTATTATACACATGTTTTGCTGAATCATACACACTCGTTTTTGATTGCAGCAATGATTTCAGCAAAAACAGTTAAATATGGTAAATTAAACTGCAGACACTGAATGCTTAGAAAGAAATGTAAAGATGTACGTTCACATACCCTGCCATATAGGTGCAGTTCGCTGTCAGAATGCAGTTGTTTTGCTTGTTGATGATTACCCAGGCCTTGTACAGTTCCATCTTCTTTCCTTGTCTTTGGCTATGCAGAACCTCTGTTTTTAATACTATGTAGTTTTGAATCTGGTAATCATGGACCATTATTTCTTGCACATGACCACACAGAACAAAATTGTTGCATCCAAAGACTTGTAGGCCTTTAACTTCTCTCTTGTAAAATCACTTGGAGTTTCAATGAGATAGTTGTAAATTTCAGACTGGATGCTTGGCCATTTCGTCTTGTCCAATATCCATTGGGATGGTAACATCACAAATAGACAAGTCAGACAAACGGCACTCACTTTAACGTTAATTTTGTCAAATAACTGTGCTTATCACTGGGTGACAAGCTGTTTTAATATGTTGAAAGCTTTATGTAAATAACATATATATAAAATGTAATCAATATAACTTTCTAACAACAAACTCTGTACTGCATTGGATGTCATTACAATACATTCGTGATGTCGAGCTATAAAGACGCCAGCATACTTAGTTTGAGGGCAAAATAAGTTTAAAAAAAAAAGCCAAGTGATGGTACAATATTTTAGGGCAGGGGCCCATTAAGTTGACAGTTGGCAGTTGGGCTTTATCGGATCTTTGGTTAATGTCGGTCCAGTTGGTTTATTTGGTTAGTTGGTCGCCTCATTAAAGATTACAGCAAGCAATTAAATTTTAATATTATTATTTTCCTGCAAACTGAGCTTTCTATACTGACTGGTTATGCCTAAGGTAAACTTAATGAGTTACATGACATTGTTAATAAGATGTTTTAAGATGAGGTCATTTCAAGGTAAAAACACTGATTCAGTGATTATGTTAAGAGATAGTTCTCAAAATGAATATTTTTGCAAGTAGTTATAAACCTTTATGAGTTTCTTTCTTTCGTTGAACACTAAAGAAAATATTTTGAAGAAAGCTGAAAACCTCTATAATCATTGACTTCTACAGTAAGAAAAACTGATACTAAGGAAGTCAATGGTTATAGGTTTTCACCTTTCTCGAAGAAGATATTTGTTTGTTATCAGAAGTAATAAACTCAAACAGATTTGGAACAAATGAAGGGTGAGTAAATAATGACAAAATGTATATTTTTTTGGATGAACTACTGAGGTGCAATACATTTCAGGAAGTTGCACTGTTTTTTCCATATACCTTTTCTACCTGCATCCTTTTTATCTGGCTATAACTAAGGAAAATTTCTTCCATGTTAGATTTTATTTATTCTTTTATTTATTCTATATTTTTACGGGCATGATTCTGTATAGTGCAGGATTTAGCATTTATTTTTTGATAAAGTCGGCACATTAAGAGTAGAGCTGAAATATAGGACTGTCCCAGGAAAAATGGGGCATCTATCCTCCTTTCACACATAAAAACTAATTTAAAGTTTTTGTTTTATACAATTAAAATCAATTAAATTCTAATAATTTGTCTTTCTAACTGTTGTAATAGATAGAAATATTTTAAATCCTGCATCATTTAAATGGTTTGATTCAAATTTGATTTGGTGTAATCAAGGAAAAACATTTCCAATTTCCATTTACTCATCAATTAGAAACTGGTGTCACCATGTAGTTAAAAGTGGCATTTTACAGCTACCATCCTGAGGGAAGATGTGTGTGTGTGCGTGTATGTGTGTGTGTGTGAAAGAGGGGGCAGCTCGTGCTCCGCCAGCGTGTCTCCTCACGGATGACACAGCGCTTCAGAAAAGCTGTCAGCGGGCAGACACACACGCTCGCTCTCACATTGTATCTTTAGCAGGTCTCACCAACTGAAGGCTGACGGCGACAGACAAGCGTTTCATTCCTCCTTTTTTTCACCCATTGTATGACGGGCGCAAGCATTCGGGCCACAGAGGGTTCAATACACAGGCGCCTGGTCCCATGTCTCCGGCCCAGCCCGGCCTTTTTTGTGAGCCAGTCATTGGGATTGAATTGAGCCTGGTCGTGGGTGCCAAGGAGGATTACGCCAGGAGGCTGGGGGTGAGGAGGTGGCTAGTGGCAGACCAGGCGGGCGACCTATGGGAAAGCCCACTGGCCTTTCTCCTGGGGTAGAGTGTGGGAAAAGTGGCTGAAAGCTGGCACGCCGCTCTGAGGCCAGAGTTGATGGGAGAATGCCAGGCCAATGTGGGGCATATGGTGGTTATTCAACTTCCCGGGCGCAAGGAAAGAGACCACGCTGTGCCTCAGCCTGCCCCAAAATTACCCCTTCACCGTTCCTCCATTCACTGGCTCTATTGCTGGCGTTGGCTCAGCACAGCAGATGGCAGCTCGGAGCGGAGGTTCACAACAGGTAACTAAGCGCAGAGGTTAGAACATGGGCAGTTACACTGGCAGCACATCAGCTGATTGTCATTCACTACAGGCT